GATCTAGCTGTCCCCAGCTGTCCCAGGGCTGTCCCTGAGCTGTCCCCAGCTGTCCCCAGGTGTCCCCAGCTGTCCCAGGCTGGCACCCCAGGCTGTTCTCTCCACAGGGGCTGGCTGTCCCAGGGCTGTCCCTGGGCTGTCCCCAGCTGTCCCCAGCTGTCCCAGGCTGGCACCCCAGGCTGTTCTCTCCACAGGGGCTGGCTGTCCCAGGGCTGTCCCCAGCTGTCCCTGGGCTGTCCCGGGGCTGTCCCCAGGTGTCCCCAGCTGTCCCAGGCTGGCACCCCAGGCTGTTCTCTCCGCAGGGGCTGGCTGTCCCAGGGCTGTCCCCAAGCTGTCCCCAGTTGTCCCCAGGTGTCCCCAGCTGTCCCAGGCTGGCACCCCAGGCTGTTCTCTCCGCAGGGGCTGGCTGGACGGCCGTGTTCGAGCCCGCGAGCCCCGCGCCGCCCGTGGCCATGGACGTGGGCTCCAGCGTGTGGGACTCGGCCGCCCCACAGAGCAGCGCCCCGGAGGAGAAGGGCTGGGCCAAGTTCACAGACTTCCAGCCTTTCTGCTGGTAAGAACCACGGAATTCCAGCTCCCCTGGGGCTTGGGAACGGGGAATATCTATCTGGGGTACATTCTGGTGGTGTGCCTGCCTGTAATCCCTTCCTCTTCCTCTTCCCTTTCATTGTTTAATGTTGGGGCTCCGTGGTGCTTCCCGCTGCTTCCCAGAGCTCCTGCCTGGGGCTGGGACCCAGCCCCGCTCCCTGTGTCCTCCTGGGGTGCAAAACCAGCAGATCAGGCTTGGAGAAGTTCAGAACATGGATGGGGAGGAAGAGCAGGGCCGGTGACTGCTCCTGGGGGCCCTCGGGGAGCTCTGGGCTGATCCTGGCTCCGTGCTCAGGGCTTTTCCCTCCCCAGCTCCGAGTCCGGGCCTCGCTGCAGCTCCCCCGCGGACCCCGAGAGCGGCGGCAGCGACAGGAGCCCGGCACAGGGCCAGGACAAGAACTGTGAGTGACACAGGGCCCCGCTGGGGCTGCTCCAGCTCTGCAGGGAGCGGCTGGGCACGGCAAGCCCCGAGCCTTCCCTGCGGCATCGGTGCACGAAGCACAGGCAGAAACCCCCGGGGTTTGCTGGGACAGGGCAGGAGGGATGGAGATGAGTTGGAGCTGATACCAACAGGGACACTCCATTCATCCCTGGGGGTGTCCCAGGCCAGGCTGGGTGGGCTTGGAGCACTCCAGGACAGCAGAAATTGTCCCCACCCATGGTGGCACCGGGTGGGCTTTGGGCTCCTTCCCAGCCAGGCCACGGTTCCCAGACCACCCGTGGTGGCTGTTGGGCCCTGCTGGTCCCCCGGGGCCGTTCCAGGGAGCGCTGCCGAGGTTCCAGCCTGGGCTGCTGCTCCCGCAGGCAGCGCTGCCGCTCCGTGTGCGTGGAACGCGTGCGGGACGCGCAAGGCGCCGCTGGGCGCCCTGGACAGCAGCTCCTCGGGCAGCTCCGACAGCGACGACGACGACGACGACAAGGCCAAGGCTGGCACGGAAAGCACGGCGCAGGAGCCCGGCAAGGACAGGGCGGCTCGCAGCAGGTGGGTGGGAAGGGATCTCCAGGGATGGCCCCTGGGATGGCCCCGTGTGCTCCCAGTGTCCCCTCTCTGTGTCCCCTGGGAGAGCAGGTCCTGCCCCGGGGGTGGCACAGGGCTCTGAGGGATGGATTTAGCACAGGGTTATTGCAGGGAGTGGTGGGGGCTCCTTTGGGTCACTGCAGTGTCACAGCATCACCTCTGTCCCTGTCCTTTGGGTCACTGCAGTGTCACAGCATCACCCCTGTCCCTGTCCTTTGGGTCACTGCAGTGTCCCAGGAGCCTCTGTC